AAATTATTTTCCACCATTTAAATTGTTTGAAAATTATCTCCATCCCCATTTTCTACGGTGCAAAAAAACTATATAACAATAATGTTGATAGGAACACCATAAAAAGATGAGGAAAAAGAAATAAAAGAAGAAAAGAGAGTTGTTGAATGATTGTGAAGGATCAATGATTATGAATAGGGACCAAAAGAGAAAAGTCATTGAGAATAGCAATGTCCTAATTGCATCAAGTGGGGCTATTGAAAGACCACAAGCCTAAGGAAAAAGTAAAAAATGAATGGAAAAGGTCACCTGATCATCTTTTAGAAAACCCTCAAAACAAGCCACGACATTGAACAAAAAATTGCAATTTATCAGAGGAGAAAAAATCGTGGCTTTGGAAATAAGGCTAGTGGGGGTGATATTTGATGCAATGGCCCATCATAGAATTGTTGCTTTTCCATTTTATATGAAAGTGTCACTAACACATTATTGTTCATTTTACAAAGACCTTTCCATATTCGTGTACGTTAGAGATTAGAAACATGTTAAAACACATGAACAACATCTTGTCAGTATCCATGTACTAAATTTTAATGCCTACACTTGTGTGCCAATAGCGCGTGTATCGTAAATTTTGCTAGGCAAACGCTAAAAAATATTCATATTTCATGGTAAAAAGGAACTTCACGTATGATTTTCTAAGTTCAAAACTTAGTGTTTCAGAATGTAACTTTTCAAGTACAAACAAACGTGTGCTAGTTACACGATATCCTCACCTTTGTCTAGAACCAAGCAAAATTGAGTTGTTGCTTTGTGTCATTCCTATAATGGAGTTTAAATAAGTCAAATGAAAATGAATAGCACGTCTAAAGAAATGTGAGTTGTGAGGCCAGGCCAACTAGCAAAGCAAGATGGTAAGGATTATGAGTGAAGGCGTGGCTGCTTGCGAGCCAAACCTGGGTGGGTAGTGTGGTGGTATGCTGAGCCCCTCCATCACACACCTGTACGTTAGCCAATCTGAAATGTGTTGTAATAGGCCAAAACACAATGGCCCATCAAAATGGATGGATCAATGGAATAATACACACATATACAACATTTAGATTATCATTTCATAACAATGTTTACGTTGGCTCGTATTCAATTATTTTTGAGAGAGAGAGAGAGAGAGAGAGAGAGAGCTGATTCTCTTAAAGACTGGTTTTAATGATAGCTAGTTCAGACTATAAATTTGAAGGTCAAATGACGCACAAAATAAATAGGACCAACCGCATTGCTCAGTGACTCATGAAACCTGTGGAATTGAGGGCCTGCCTTAGCTTCAAGAGCAAGTGAGCTCGGGCATCGACAAGTCTTGGGAGTGTTA